CTGATTCTGCACAAATCGGAGATGCTTACCCTTTGAAATAATGCAGCATTTGCTCACTATCTTTATTACTCTTCTAATTCTTTTTTGATTAAAGGAGTCATTTTAGGAAAGCATTTGTTGCCAGGCCACTCTGATTGAAATCTGTACCATCTCTCCCTTGTCCTCACAGTGCCTCCCCTTCCCTGTTATATCAGTGAAATGGGAAGTGTGGGTTATAGACCTCTCCTCAAAATGAGAATTACCAAAAGGCAATCTAATGGGTGAAAGAAATGAATGAAAAGAACCTTCATGTTCCTTATTTATTTTTCACTTAAAGTTTTTGTTGTTGAAAATGTACACAGTGCATATGGCACAGCTGATCCTGAGGTGGGACAGGGAATCTTTTACTTCACATTAGCAAAATGTTCCATTATTTTGTCCTACCCCTTACCCCTCCCCCCCCCCCGCCAAAAAAAACAATCTACTGCTAGGTTACTAAAAAAATCTTCCCCTAAGACAGTGAGGCTACAGGAGGAGGAACTACAGGAACATTAATGCTTTGAGACACCTCTGAGACATGGATTACCTTCATGCTTCTTTCACTTGCATAATATTTTCATAACAGAAAGAAATTTCAGTGTCTTCTGTGGTTTCTCAGTCCAGGGCTGGGGGGTTTGTGGGAGTAGTGTGAGGGATTATTCACCCAATACAGCAAGGATGCACCCAAGGACACTAATGAGCTCTACAGTCTTTCACAAATTTGTTTTTCCTGAATAATTTAGACTGCAGATTTAAAACATCAGGCCCTAGCAGATTAAATCCTTAAAACTGCACATGTAAATATAAAATTCCTCCCACTGTAAAGCAATGTAATTGTTTAATAGAACACACATTATCTCTAACATGCTATTATTTTGTGCTTGAGTTAAAGCTGAAGAAAATAAGTAATCCCTTTTATTAACATTTCCCAAATACAGCATCCTGCATTAAGAAACAAATAAACAAACAACCCTTCCTGACCTTAAACTTTCACAGTTGTCTAGAGCACATTTCTACTTATTTCTCTGCTTTATGGCACTACTTCTTCACCTCCCAAACACATTTTATTATAGAAATGGCAAAGCAAAATATGTGTCATGTTCTTCCTGATGTCCAACACAAACAATTTCATTGTGATAATTAGAGTTCATCTTTATGATCAGACATTTTTTAGCTTTTTTATGAATTATTCTTTTATTCATAAATAAGGTTTGCTTGTTTCTATTTCATATTCTGATAAGCCTTTCTTTCCAAAAGAACAGAGAGAAAAATAATTTTTTCTTCACATCTACTCCTTTTAGTAAAATTATATTTCCTGGACTAATTTCCATTAGAAATGTGTTAATGGATGCAAGTCCCTAATATTTGTATGATCTCCCAGAAAAGGAAAAAAGTCACTTGTTTCTAGGTATTATTACAATTGAGAAACCACTTTTTTCTCCACCAACTAGAGCTTTTGAGAAATAACTTCAATTTTGACATCATATGAAATAGTACCTTAGGGTTTCAAACTTGTAGAGTTGTACGTATATCTAACTTTTTCTGTATCTAGTCATTCTACTGAGTGGGTTAGATAACTTCAAAGAGGCTAAAGTGTCTTTTGAAGTCCAATGGTGAGCAATGGGAATAAAGGTGGTTAGCATACACCTTTTTTTTTTTTTTTCTTTTAATATATGACCATTGGAAAAGACATTTAAAGCATGTAAGTTAAACTCATCACTTTTGAGCAGTCAGGAATAAGAATATATTGATACACAACACCACATGCTTACAAAACAAAGAAATAGAAACACTTCTGGTATTCACTGAGCCTGTTGGCACGTGCCAGTGAATTTGTAATCAGGCATGGAAACAGCTAAGCTCATGAAGCCGACATTTTTAGAACTATAGCAGTTGTCCTATAAATTATTCTGCATCTAGGTCTACATAAATAGCAAAGACAGATGCACAACACTCGCGTCAGCTCTATAAAACATTATTCCAGGTTGCAAGATGCTGCAATAAATAGGTTAATCATTTTTAATGTCTTTGATATTCATCATAGCAACATTAATCAGGATGAATTAATTTGGAGTTAATGCGACTTCAGCATGAATTGCCAATGGTGTTTACTTGTAAATTCAGTTTTTGAGGACAGGTACAAAGTCTTTCACTCTCAAAACCAACCTTGCTTTCTACACTCTTCCACATGAACTATGGACTTCCATGCCAGTGTTGACACTGATGTATGGTGAGGTTTTTCTCCTTTATAAATTTTCATTTTTATTGCTATCTGCCAGAATAACAGTCCATCCAGTTCTTCTCCTTGGAAGTTTTTTCCCAACTAACAACTCAGGTAAAAGTTTTCTGACTTAATTGACTAGTCCACTGTTGAAAAGTCACATGACTAATGTCGCTTAGAGAAAAATATTGCTTTTTAAAAAAATTATCTCAAATGCTATCAGATAAATAAAGCTCCTCATACATAATTTGGAAGTAAGAAGAAAATCTCTTTCATTTGAACGGATAGTTGTCTACAAATAAGAAATACACATTCCTGCATTTCATTAGTCATATTTCTAATGAAATTGAATCATTAGAACATGAGAATTAGGCACAACAAAAATGTAACTTCCTTCAGAGCTAGAATATAAAGTAAAAATAGGCTGAGTGCCTTATGTTTATATTGACAAATGCAACTACTGGTTCTAGTGCAGAAAAAATAACAAAAATTATGCTAGCAAACCAAAAATCAAAGCCTAAAACTCTTAAATTCCAGTTCAATACTCCCATAAATTAAACATTCTTTGTGGCTCTGGACCAATGTTCACTATATTTCCTTAGCAAAATACTAGATTTAAGAAACACATCTAATATATTATTTTAAAAGTAATTTATGGTTAGAACATCCTGCCACAGTGAGTTCTTTACAGAGGTTTCCAAAGCTCACTCACAACGATCCATCTTTAGCAGCAGACATCAGATATTACTGTATACACACATATATATATGTGTGTGGATGTGTGGGCAGCTGTGTGCATGTTTTAAATTGTTTTCTTAGCACATTTACCAGTTCATGAGAAAGAGTTCTATCCTCTAATTACAGTATTGTAGCATAGAGAAGTACCTGAAAAGGAAGCCTCAGGTTTTGTCCCAGGATTTGCAATTTAGTTCACTGAAGCCAAAAATTCCATTTCAAATTGCCCTTAAAGAAGAAAAAAAGAATTATGGCAAAATATTAAATACATTTTATCTAATAAAAATCCTGAAAATGAACCTAAAGGATTGCTCACAACTGTGTATGCTGTATACATGTAAAACAAATATTGATTTCTAGTGTTCTCATTGCCTTCCTCTAAAGCCAGTTAAACATTAAGTAATTAAAAAAAAATCGTATTAAATTCTAAATGAACAAACATGGAATTAAAGAAAAAGTTGCAGTAATCAATTGTCTCTGTTGGAGTGATTAAAATTCTTTTGATTTATGTCAAGTTGTTGCCTAGAGGGAATATCAAACCTCATTAATAGTAGAATTGAAAATAAAGAACAAAAAAACTGCAATAACACCTTGTAAAGTTCACACTATTTTCTTGTCTCCTGAATATATTATTCCCTTTCTTAATTTATTTTCATTAACTCACATGTATCACAGAAGCAATAACTGAAATGGAAGCAGGGTAGAGACATCTTAGGAGGTACCTCAAATCAGGAAATGCAAATAACCATCACCCTTGGGCTGCGGCATTTTGTTCCACCCCACAATCACAGCTTTGCAGTTCTGACCAAAGACAGAGGCCAAGACTGCAGTCACCAGCAGGCAAGAATATATTGGAGAAGAACACAGAGGCCCAGTGAGATTAGAAGAGTGGGAAGAAAAAACAGAGCAGAATGCATTTTCCAAGGGTTATCTGCAATTGCGTGCAGGATATATCAATATGAATACTTTGTATGAGCAAGTAGAAAGCATTCATTGAGTTCACAGGGATCTCTGTTCAGTGTTCAAGCATTTTCTAACTCATAGATGGGCATAACCAGAGATATCTCATTTGGCACACCCCACTCAGGTGATCTGTCAAGCAGCACATTCTGACGGCTACACCAAAGTTCTGCATGCCTGTGGAGGCGCTGCTGAAAGCAGAACAATGTTGAATATCCCAAGGAATACAAGCTGATGCTTTTCTAGGTATTTTAATGAGTAATGAAATAAATTCATAAGCTAAAGGGAATCCTGCTATGGTGGTTTTGTGTTTTTTTAAAGTCTAAAGGGAGTGGAAAAAAATACAAACAAAAAATACCCAAACAACAACCACCTTTCCAGTAATCCAACAGCATTTCTTTTTTTATTTGTACAGTACATGTAAGAACCATTGATTACTTATCAAAAGAACAGGCTAATTTGTTGAGGACTGTGAAGAAAATCATTACAGGGCTTGAAGTATTAGGAGAGTCCCCTTGAAAAGCACCATTTAAAACCAGAGCAATTCAAGTGAGGGTTTATAGATTTTCAGTTTATCTGGTACCTTGAGCAATTGGCTTTGAAAAGTCACTGCTAACACATGGAATATAATTTAATTTTATAAAACTACTATTAATATGTGCTGCTCATTTCATGTTGCCCTTATATCTTATATCTGCTTTCCAGATTTTTAACTGTTCTTTGTTATTTCTTAAACTGTGGTTTATGGTGACATATAAAGCTTTCATTATTATTCCACAGGGAATTATAGGACATAACTACCATTAGGAGATGTCTAGAGAATAAACACTTCAAAATTCTGTGATTAAAAATACAATTTGAATTACCACTCATTACACAGATCAAAAACTAAAAAGAAATTTCATAGTCTTGTCATTTAACTTCTATTAAAACTGCTTTCAGCAAAGATTTATCATACACTCTGTACTCCACATACAAGTCAACCATGTGCTTCTATTAAATTCAAATTTTATTTCTCATTCAAGTTTTAAGACTGTTTCTTTAAAGAACCTCAGACAAACAAAAGAACAAAACCAAAAATCCCTAAAACCAACAACACCCCCACCACTAAAAAAAGAAACCAAAGGAAAACAAAAGCTAAAATTAACATAAAACCCCACTGCTGATATTTTTCAATTGACATTTATGTATTTACATGTATTTCTTAAAAAAGAAATACATAGCTCTGGTTTAGTACAAAAACATGTGGTAAGTAATCAGAAGAAAGAATTTACACTGTGAAATGAGCATAAAAGACAGGCATTTGCAATGTTCCCTATTTAAAGCAGAGGCTTTATTTTGATCCTTTTGACAGCCAAGACTCACTATGTCCTTTGCTTAATGGTACCCAACTTCACTTTCTTCCTGCCTTGAGAGAGAGGAAAAAAAAATGAATGGTGAAGAAGAAATGAGGAAAATATATTAATTTTTATTTGTCTAAATTTTATTATGCTCCAGGTATTGGAACAGCTACTTTCTGCTTCAGAATCTCAGTAACAAGGGGGAATTTTTTCAAAAAGAGGGTTGCAGTCAGAAAACAACATCTCTATCCATTGATATATTTGAGTGAGTGGCCTGGGTTATGGTGTTCATGTTGAACTAAAGCATACTTCAGTAATAATGCATGACAACGTGCTTGTTTCATAAACCTGTCATAGAACAGGAATATTTTCTTTCTCAGAGCCCAGGCTTCCCAAACCTCAGACCTCTGCTGTGATAAATGAATATGCACTGTATCTGAGACACAGATTTGCTCTTACACCAGAAAAAGAAAACACAAAAACCCTAACAGTTTTAGGTCCCCCAGCTTGGGAATTTCTCACAGTGAGCTTCAGTTCCTCATATATCAATGAACTAGCAGAATAATCTCAAACTATCAGCACCTGAATCTCTCAAAAATACCTAAGGCTGGAGCAGGTATTTTGTAACCATGACTGAGCACTTCACTGCTAGGCAACTCCACAGTGAATTGGCTCGTACTGTGTAAGCTGGAGTAAATCATAGAACTGGTTTGATTTACAGTATGGGGACAATCAAATAGCCTGTTCATAGAGGCGCCTTTGTTTCTTTCCCTGACTTCATCTGAACTTCTTGGCTTCTCAAAGGCACAGTTTAAGGAATTGACCTCAATTTTCATCAAGACAATTAATACATAAATTATAAATCTCCTAGAAAAACAACAAAATTACAAACGAACAAAAAATTCACTCCTCACAATCAAGAAACCCACCAAGCTATGCAAAATGTATCAAGAAGAAAACTGTTCTTAGTAAAGGTATCCAATTTTCATGCTGTAATTATTTTTGAAGGTGTCATGAGTTTGAAAGAGAAGGCAATGCTCTTCCTTTATTTGAGATTCATGATGTAAAGCAAAAAAACCAAAACCTCATAGATCTAAACATGATAATCTTTTTGATAGACTGTCATTGCTAAATTCTTTCTTGCTAAAGATCTTTAGAGAATTTTATGCCCATAGAGAAAGTAAGATTTCCCAACAGAAATAATTAGAGTCTGATGCAGTCATTGTTTTGGTCTGCTAGTTTGTAGACTACATTTCTGTACCTCAAAGTAAATAGCAGGTACAATTGGTTTTCAGTGGAAAAAGAAAGGCCATCCCCTCAGGTACTGCATTTCTGATGATCCATGAAAAAGCTTTGTAATGAGCTGGCAATTGACATCGATTATCATTTAAAGGCAGTGAAAACAACAAAGTGCAGCTGAAAACTTTTCACTGCTAAGTGTCACTCACAACAGTGAGGAGCAGAATTTGTGCTGCCCTGGAAGAGAGGTAGGAATTTCAGACACTCTGTCCCTGTCACTTTCTGTCCAGAGGCACTACATGAAAATTTGGGAAAGTTTTAATCCTTCTTCCTTCTCGTTTCAGCAGTATGGTGAAAATCACTACCTTGTATTCGGTGGCTGAGACTGCAGCTCAGAAATTCCCCGGTGGACAGCAGCCTTTCTGTGCTGCACGTTGGCAGGATGCTGACAGCTGGTTGCATCCGTCACTCTCAGTCATTCACTAGTGTCCCTGTTAGAGTAGCCCACCCCTCACTGTCACACCTTTCCTTGACTCTGGACATTGCTGCCATTCTAAACACAGACTGACAGCTCTTGTTTTCTGGACAGTTGATTGTAAAAAAGGATGAAAAGCAGTTTTGGGGAGATCTGACTTACTTTTTGTAATTTGAAGTTGAGCAGTTTGATCAACCTGCCAGCACAGAATGTGCCATCACTTCCTTTGCCCTGTTTTCTGCTCTGCAGTTCCTGTGTCAGTAACACAGAGGAGAGATGTGATCCTTTCTCCTTCATCCAGCTTTTACTCAGTATCAACTTCCAGCCCTGGAATGGATGATAAATAAGAAATAAATTCCAGCCCTGGAATGAAGAAGAGAGCAGTTCAGCTGCCAGAGTTAGCATTTTCAAAAGTGGCATGACTTAAAAGCCATGGAATTCTCCATGCTCTGTTTTTGAGATTCAGAACAAGAATTACAAAAAATAGGCAATATGGTGGGGTACCACATCTGAATCTCATGAGGTAAGAAAGTACAGTTAGACCCTAAAAAGTGATAAAACGAGCTCATTTTGGAAAACATCACTCCTTCTGCAAGCTGTTACTATATTAAAATTGCATGTTAAACAACAGAATGTTTTTCTAGCTAGTTGAGTATTCTTCTGTCATCCAAAAAAAGTTACCCTTAAAACACCTCTATGGAAGGCAATTTCACTGGTAGGGGAAGTTACTTTGCATACACAATAGTGCCTCACAGCTGTGTAATGAATTACTGTTTCTCACTTGAAGGGCAGAGAGGGTGAGAGGTAACAAGTTTGAGCAGAGGAAGCAATAATTTCAAATGCAGTACATTTTAAATAAAATAGGATGCCACAGAGAAACTGTGCCTTCTATCAACAGAAGCATAAACAGGCCAAAAAGTTAACAATGTATATGAAACAGGACCAGAAAAATACTGTATTTTTAAGTCTTCCATTTTCCCCTGTGCTGATCTTTTTCACTCTTGCACTGAATCATGAAGGGAACTATAAAACCTCCAGGAGAAGAGTTCTATTCATTGACCCCTAAAGTATTTTGTTTGACATTGGTCTTCTCTTTGTATTTTTTGGGTTTTAGAAGTGTAGAAGTTGTTTGAGCTCAGTCATCAATTACCTCTCCACAAGAGGTTACAAAAATAAGCAGGTGTATTTGTGGTTCAACACCTACTATTTTTTGTTGTCAAGTTTGTGCTTCAGAATGGGACATCAATGATGGTGGTTACAATTAGAATGTCAGGGCAAAATACTCATGCACACAGAACAAAAACTGTGTATGAAATAGCCTAACATTTTTATCCCTTTTTATTTAATCAGTGAAACATCAGAGCTTCTATGCAGCATCCACAGTACCTCTATGAGTGTAGAGAGAGAATTCTTGCATTTTAATGATTAGGCCCTTAACCATGCATAAGGCACTTAACTAAATCAAAGAGGTTTCATTAAGAAATTATTTCTAGAAAGAAAAGGCATATCTGATATTTTTATTTCATTATTACTAGAAGCCATTACAATCTCAGTTTTTGCACGTTTCAATGGTGGTTTTCAGCTAAAACGTCAATTCCAAGCCTTTTTCTGCTTACTCCAATGGACAGTTTCTGATTCCAACAGAGTAAAGTTTCAGGCTTTTGCACAGGCTGGGAGATTATGACAGTTTTAGGTGCTCATGTGAGTGGATTTGTAGGTGCCTCAGTGAGCTTTTCCAACAGCTATGAACACAGGTTTGTGGTGCACCATTCTAGAGGGCTGCATTTATGTAATACTTTAGTCGTAAGATGAATGAAAGAAAAACTTTTCATTTTCCAAAGGAAGATTATTCAGAATTAGGAGTCTGAAATATTAGTCATGAAATACAATAAAGTACTGTAACTGAGTAAAGATCCAACAATTTCAAAATGTAGAAATAAATCTAAACCAACCTAAATTCTGTCTCTACATTCAGTAGGTTTGAATTTAATTTTTAAAATAAAAGGAATGAAACAATTTCCTATATTAGCAGATACTTTTCAATTATAAAATTTTCTTCTAAGGGGCTTTCATTATGAATTTTTTTATCAAACCTCCCTTCAAGATGTACTACTAATTGTTTGGCTGTTGTAGCTTCTCAGTCCTTCTGTATTTGCAATAATCAATAGAAACAATAATCAATAAAAACAACTCTAAGCCATAAGTTCAAGATAATGGAAAGTTTTTCATTTTTGATTTTGATGATGTGGCAATACGAATAAAATCTAAATGCGACTGAACCCCCCAAAGTGAGTTTCTTAGATATATGCAAGTATCTTAGCCCTTCACACTAGTCAAGACTATTGATTCTTTTCTCATATCATCTGAAATGGGACTCAGCACTAATGAAATTCTAAAATCTCAATGTTGTAAACTGCAATCACTAACATTAGGTAAAATTCTACAGATACATTTATTAATTGCCAGACTATTTTATTCTTTTCTCAATTAAAATGTGATATCAAATGCTTTATACCCATTGCACCCTTTACATTAAAAATTGAAATTACATTTTTAATGATAGCTTAATGATATAGAATGTTACATGAATGAATATGTGAAAGTTCGGCAATTTGTGGAGATGTGAAATATTTTCTTAGTTCATAGAAAAACTCTGGAGTAGAAGAAAAATAATTTCACAGGTACATAGTGTTCAAAAGAGATGATCTTATACTGCAAGAGTGACTTTATGCTGCAATAAAATCTCTATCACACATATGGAAGAGTTCCATATATTACCTTGCTAGAATATGCATTCTGTTGAGAAAATTAGGAAAGCAGTACGTAGAGGTCAAAACCATCTAAACTTGCACACAACTATTTGCAGATGGAAGACGAGGACTGGTTATTTCAAACTTTTTTAAGCTTTCCCAGTGCTAAAGAAAAAAAATCTACTGTTTTTAATGGCACACTGTTTGAAGTATGCACATCTGAATTTGTGGAGACTTTCTGCACAACATAACAGTGTGGCTATATACAATGTCATATAACTCTTCTACTTGGTGCGTCTAAGCACCGGCAGCAACACAACACCCCATCTACACAAGATCTTTATATCTGGAGATTTTTTTTTAAACACATTTTCATTAATGGTGTTTGCATAAAGTCAAACTGTATTAATGAAATAGGTTAAGATTAAAAATGGGAGGAGCACTGTTGCTGAAAAACTCAAAAAACTAGCAAAAAAAGTCCAAAAAAACCCCAAAATTGTTAACTTTGAGGTGACTTGATAGTACAAGGACAAAGGTTTAAAAAGTAGGGATATTGCATTCAAAGTTCAGCACTTGAAGTCATTACAGCTAAAGTATTTTTCTGAGATGATGAATTGGAAGTGGAAGAACCAGAAAAAGCCTGACGATATCAGTTAATCAGTGGCTGAATGTCAAGCTTTGTGGAGAAGGTAAATGCAGTCCTAGGACATGCTGTATATTTTCTAGTAAGATATTTTCTCTGAAGGAGGTAAGTTGATAAATACATTGTACCCAGAATTGATAGGAGTTTTAATGTAGTATTGTATTCAACTTACATATATAAGATATATATACACACATACATATATATTCATTTATACCAATGTATAATATATGCATATATTTAAGGAAAAGAAATTAATCAAGAGAATGCTAAGGAAATACTCCTAAATATGGTCTTTGGAGAGTTGCTTGTTTTATTTTAATCATCATTCATTTTATTTTAACCTTCCAAAACAGGGACAGAAGAGGACTACACTTTTCTGTATAAATGTCCAGGAGAAAAAAAAAAAAATCTTTCCTAATTAGATAACAAATGTACAAAACCTCTTTACTATACTCTTTTAAAATTCAGTTTTCTAGTAAGTAGTCATTGGAGTCAGAAAGTAGTGTCATGATGGCATTTTATAAACAGATTTATTAGCCAGATCCTCTCTTTACACTTGAAAAAAATCAGCCTCTCTGTATATAAGAAAAAACAAAACTTTTTGCAATAAAATGATTTTTAAGTATTTTGCAGAAATTGAAGATCCTTTATTTCTAGAGACAAGAAATTCTACTACAGCTATTTTCATATGTGCAAACATAAGTTTTTCTCCCGCTATTTTCTGACATTATAAAAAGAAATAGTAAATTATAGCTGAAAGAATATGGGATAATGGTGTAGTAGCTACATAATCTTTCCAACACTCTTCCCTCCATATTGCTCTCTGGCCATTTAGGAAAATTAGCAGGTAGAAGAAACTCTCTTCCTGAATGCTTAGCTGCTGCTTGGTAATGAAGAATAAATCTCAAATGTAAAAATAAAGCCTAAAAGCTTTTCTCTTAGTATTTTTTTTTCCATTTTGTGATTTCACTATGAACATTTTAACCACTTCATATCTCAGAATTTATCAGACCACCTGTAGTAAAAGGTGCTACAATGATGGAAGTATTTAATTTGTGCAGATGTATTATTTAAGTGTTACAGATGACAAAAATAATTCTTTGTTACTGGTTGCAGGTAGCTCCCTAAGTTTTTCTAGCATACTTTAATTTAGAATATCATGATCTTGAAAGCTTGAGTCAGCCTCTGGCAGTTATATTAAAAGCTGTTAGCCATTACTATCTACTTCTAGGAAAGACGTAAACAAATCCAAAGCAGACAAGAAAAATGCTCAAGCTCTTACAGGCACATATAGGAATGTGGCCACAAATAAATCCACCCATGTCTAACTTTAATTAACTAAAAAAGCAAATCAGAATGCAGAACACACAACATACAGAACATTTTCCTATTTTACAGTGTCACCTATTGTAATCAAAGTTACTTTAGGACATTCTCATGTGCAGCAATTTTACTTTACTACACATATTCCAAACTTTTCAACTCAGGTTTGTCTTCACACAATCTAAGAAATATAATATTTGATCTCTTTTGGCTCAACCAGAACAAGTAAAAATCGAGTTTCCTTCTATACAGCCACAAGAGGCTTAGATATGTTCATATTTAAACATGCACTGCCACCTGTGGTCCAGGCAAGAGTTTTGAACTTACTGTGCATTTGAAGACACAGTACTGTTACTGCATTCCAGTGAATTAAAAAAAAAAAAAAAAAAAAGAATAAAAATGTAGTATGAGACCAAATGCATCTCATATTTTATTTGATACTGCAAGGTTTTGTTTAGAAAGGAGTTCTTTGATTCTTGTAAACAAAAAGCAACTGACCTCCAAGCCCACTGAACTTACAAACTGTGAAGTTAGACTTTTTATGTAAGCGAGCAAGGACTAGGTATTGCACACAGTGCCTTGTCAGAATAACATCTTCATGAAGAATT